GGATCAAAATTTTGGCATCAACGACCTTGAATTGTTGCCAAACGAGTTCAAGATGTAATGTTGGTCGTTGACAACTATCATTTTAGTTGCTGCCTTTGATCAGTTTTAACTAAACTGTGCGTACTTTCAACTCAAGTTCAAATCATGCACATACAGTTTGCTGAACAAGACTAATATTAGTATAGTAATTGTAATTTGCCTATAAAATATAAATGAATTGACCAATAATACGCGAAATTATATAGTCTGCACAATTGTTGGTGCACAAATTTACAACAGTTGACAAATATTCATAATCAAACTTAATTCCAACACATTCATATTAAGTATAATAATATAACTCTTGATAAATACAAAACATAATCAAAAACTTCGCCATACTCACTTTTGTTTAGCAGACATTTTGTAGAGTTACAACTCGAGCAACCTTGGTACATTAGCTGGAGAAGCCCGAGTAGAGTTTAAAGGTCAAATGACATCATTTGACGTCATTCGCGTCGCAACCCCGGTCGTTCGAGTGCAACCCTCGCTAAGCGCGTAGGGACCCGCGTTACAATCGAACTCAGCCTCAGTCTAGAGGCCGGTAACTAGTAATGAATCCGGCATTCTGATTGGTCCGTCACTTTCTTGTTGCTTGTTCTATTTCCCTTGGTTACCTGACGGCAGCGCTTACGCTCGTGGCCGTTCAGGGGTTTCCGTTTACTTTCGAAAGTTGGGTGAATAAAAAACTGTTTCTTTTGTTATAAATTTTCACAGAAACAGCGAGGAATGTCAGAAACATCTCAAATGTGTAAATCTAAGCAGGCAGTATGTTTGAGCATGGCTTTATTGTAGTATTATAGACATGTTTACGCAGAACGGAACTTGGAATGTTTTCAAATTACGTCACTCAGTCACGTGCCTTCCGGCCGGAAAACCGGCCCAAATGGAACAATATGGCGATTACTAGTTACCTGCGTCCTACCTACCATTCGCAAAGGACGCCGGGAACCAGCGAAGATAGCTGCGCCCAGTCTCACTACCGTACTGAGACAGTAGAATTATAAGATTTTTCCCTCCCGATTCTTACTGTGCTTTTTATAATGTCAACAGAAATGTTTACGATCGGCTTAATGCTAATAATGGAATAAATAAATCAATGCAATATAATTGGCTAATGTATCAAGTTATATTCACAATTGTGTAGAGATAAATAAATAGTTGGATTCTAGTCGGGAGGAATCGGGACTGGTCGGAGCTGGTCGGGGTTGCGGCCAACAGCCCTGTTCGCAGACTGACAATGAAACTGATAATGTGCTATGTGTCGTTATTGGAATCAACATGTGTTTATTTTTTTCCGAGAGAGCGGCCTAAAACATAGAATGGTGGAAGAACACGTACTCTCAGGTACTATACACCACACTTATCTACTCTAGCGTTTATGCTGGTACATTTTGCTATTTAATCACAAGTTTTTCAGCACCTATATTACGTCGCCGATCGATGTCAATGAGTGACCATCACTTCGGCAACTCGCTGATACAACCAGCCGTG